CCTGAGGGGAGGAGAGCGGCAACGGCTCTCCACGCCCCCGCCGGTCGTGGCTCCCCTCAGGCCACGTCAAACCACCACCGCCCCCCCGCGGTGAATCCTGTCCTGTTAACCTCCCTTCACCTTTGATCAGCCGCACCTCACGCTGTGCTCCTGCCGCCCGCCCCTCTGGGTGGGTGAGTGTTGCCTGTGCCTGCAGCTCCCTCTCTTCCGGAGTTTTCTGTGGGGAAGCAGCCTCTGTCCCTGTTCGCTCCCGGGCGACACCTCAGAGGTTGCAGAGGACACCCTGCCCCCTCGAAGTAAGGTAGTGCCTTGGCACCTCCGGCTTAGTGTGAAGGGGGATCTTTATACCCCACAGGGAAAGGCCACAGAAGTTGCTCTTAGCCATGTCTCTTTTCCACGTCTTTCAACTCAACACCTTAATTAACTTCCCTCCTCGCTGCAAATACCCTCCCAGGCCATCTCTCAGTGTCCCTCTGAGGAAGCCCTGGAAATTTCCCCATGTGGAAATGTATTTCAGATGCGATTATGGGTGATTAAGAGCAGAATGTCACACCAACAATTGAAGACACCATCAAATTAAAGAATAGCCCTTGACTGGGTTTTAACAAACATATGTCATTAGCTGTGCCACTGAGGAAGGGTGTACCTCCCTAACAACAAGGAATTTCCAGCTTCCACAAAGCAACTGGCTGTTCTTAAAGGAGTCATTCGGCTTACACACGAGGGTAATGTATTTCCTATAGACTTGCCCCACAAATACGGCACAGATCCTCTACTTCCCTACCACACACGCGGAGACAAGATGTAAATTACTCTGAGGGGTGAGAGTTAACATTTTGTATTACAGTGTGAGCTTAATATTTTGTCTATTGGAGGTAGAAAGTGAAGATGTAGAGTTCATCAGCCTTTCATTCAAAAACTCCTTCCTTACTTAAAGAGAAAAATCCCCTTTCACCAAGATTTACTGGTGCTTTTAAGGTCCTCATCAGTCTAATTCTGGCTGTACCAACATCACTGTAAAAAGATCCATGTGAAGGGGCAGATTTGTAACAGTTAATGTGCTGAGGGAAGGAGTGGCATTGCATGTGATACAAAAAAAAGAAGACTGAAGTTATGAAAGAAGAAAAACAAAGTGACAGAAACACTATCAGCAGTTGCCTGTGCTGAATTGCTGCAAATGCCGCTGAGTTTTATACTGGAGGTTGCACCTGAACTTCAGTTTCTGTCTAGGCACTAAACATAGATGCCATATTGCAAACTGAAACTGAAAGTCAGAGTTCAGCCTGCGGTAAAACAAATCCTTGATCCTATGCACGTGTGCAAGGCAGTGCACTGGATTTGTTACTCAATGCTTATTTGAAAATCTGAAACCCAAAGGCATAAATTAAGGGTGTATTTGGAATTCTCTCTTAACATGACTTTAAATTGTCTTGAAGAACAAGGTCTATTGAAGAAGAAAGCAAAAAAGGCACAATTAGATCAATACATCATTCACTTTGAAACCTCTTAAACCTCTCTGCTATTATTAATTACAATCAAATATAAATATTAAATACTTAATGCAAGCAAATATAATACAAGCCAGAGACACTACTCACTGAACTAGCCTATTCTCAAACACTTCAGCCACCTGTAAGAAAATGGGGAGCAGGTTCTATCAGACGTCTTAAAGGCCTGTCTGCCTTTCAGGTCTTCTTGTTCCTCACACTGCCTTTACAGCAGAGTCTGAAAATGTTGCATTATCTCTGCAGGAGCCAGCTGAGCATCTACAGCATCAATTTACTCACAGTGCAGCTTACATAAGATGGAGACTACATAGTCAAACAGCAGTGATTTTAAACAACCAGCTTTCCAAACAGTTTAGTT